CCCCGAACGGCCCGAGCGCTTCCGGCTGGAGCTGCTGGGCGCGGGGCCCGGGGCGGTGAGTGGGGCCGGCGGGGCGCGGAGCCCGAGGCCAGGCCCCACCCCTTGCCAGCTGCGCGGCTTCGGGCAGTGGCTTCCCGTGCTTCTGTTTTCTTGTCTGTAACGGGGGGTAGTGCCGGTGCCCACTGTGCAGGGCTGTTGTGAGGATTTGATAGTAGGTGTGAAGGGTTTGGGACCGTGTAAGTGGCCTGTAAATGTTACCTCGTGTTCCTTTGGTCATCATGCGGTGGAGGAGGCGTTGAGCCTGGACTTTCCCCCTCCTCAGGTCAGTTTGGAGTGGCCCTTGGAGGCAGTTTCCTACATCGTCCGAGGCCCCAGCCATCATGAGCTGCATCCTCCACCAGGAGGGCCCGGAACCCTCAGCTTGCACTTCCTCAACCCTCAGGAAGCTCAGCGGTGGGCAGCCCTGGTCCGAGGTGCCACCGTGGAGGGACAGAATGGTCAGTGCACTGGAGAGGAGACTCATTTTGGAGTAGTCCTGGTCCCCAGTCTTGGACGGAGAAGCTGGGTCCACGTTCCTCATTGCTGGGGGTCTGAGAACGCTCCCAGGAGGGAGAAATGGAGAAAAGGAGTAGAGGTCGAGGAGCTGGAGCTCGGAGTACCAGACAGTGTGGAGAGGTAGAGCAAGCAGGGCCTCAGGCCTGGGTGAGAAGACAGACGACCCCAGGAGCAGCACACCACCTGGGCTGGAAGGAAGGATGTTTCCAGAGGTGCTTAGGAGATGGAGTTGGCTGAGTCTCATGGCTGTTTAAGTGGAAGAGTTAGTGGTTGAGATTGTGAAAGAAGGCTCCCAGATAGAGGGCCTGTTTGAGAGGGCATGGAGGTGGCTGGGTTTTTACACATCTGGGCTGGACTGGGGCTTTGGAGAGTTAAACACTGGGAGTAGGAGAGGTCACCAGGAGAGGGACGCAAGAAGAGAAGAGGCTCCAGCATGCAGACAGTGCAGCAGGGAGAGGAAGGAGAGTCCACAAATGAGACGGTGAAGAGCTGCCAGTGGGTTAGGAAGACGACCAGACTGTGATGTAAGAGGCCCAGGCAACTCAGCATCGGGAGAGCTCTTAAATCAGTCATTAGTTCACTGAATATGTGAACTCAGTACCTGCTGTGGATTAGGCACTCCTTTAGCATTAACAAAACCTCAAGCCCTTGCATTCTAGACGAGAGGGAGAAGTAAAATAAGTAAACTTGTGTTAGATGGTGGGGGAATGGGAGTGCTAGAGCTGGAGGAGAGGGCTGCTGTTTATAAAAGAGTGGAAGGAAAGGTCTCCTCATGAGGGTGACACTTGAGTGAAATTTGAAAGTCATGGGAAGAACCACGTGGCCAAGTGAGCAGCAGATACAAAAGCCCTGAGAGGAGCACGTGCCTTTGACCCTCGAGGCTCAGTGAGGCTAGGGTCAGGCACAGTGCTGGGGGCTTGGAGGTCCTTGCTCATTTTAGTTGGGGAGACGGTTCAGAATACCAAGGCCTGAGGTGATCAAAGGAGTGTGTCAGTACTGGGTGGGGACCCCCCATCACTGCAGTAGGCTGGGCCTCGAGTGGGAGATCAGTGTACCCAGCTCTGTAAAGACATCCAGGGCAGGCAGCCCAAGTATATTCTGAGCTGATGGGGGAGCCAGGAAAGGGGAGGTCCCTGAGGGCACCAAGAGGAGGCCACCCTGACTGCAGGGCTACTGTAGGGCAGGAAGGGGCAAGCTCCTGTCTGAGGACCTGCTTTAGTTCTGCTGTGATGGTAAGGGGGCATCTGGGCCAGGAGAGGTGGTCTGGTCTCTGTGGAGGAGAGGGACAGGTGAGACCAGGCAGCAAAAGGGTTCAGGAGAACTCCAAGTTGCAAAGATGAGCCAAGAGCAGCTTCAGCACCAACAGGAGACTGGCAGGGATCTCGGGTTTGCGAGGGCTAAGCTGGGAGGGGAAGGTGTGAAGTATGCCCTGAAGCAGGGTTGTCAGCGTGGGCTGAGGATGAAGGCAAAGGTCCTGAAAACCTGAGGGCAGAGCGTGGGCAGAGGCCACTAACCCACCCTACATCTTCCCTTCTAGGCAGTGGCAACCCGCCCCCAGCCCTGGGCCCAGAAACATGCCCTGTTTCCCTGCCCAGTCTCCCTGAAGCCCCCATACCCAAAGCCCCCCAGCCTGAAGTGGATCTTCCCCGGAGTCCTGGAGACTTCATGGAGAAGGGTAAGGGCAGACAGCTGGAGGGGGTTGGCGGAAGCAGCTGGTCCCCAGCTGGGACAGCTGTCCTTTCCTCTCCCTGCAGAAGAGCTGGCAGGGCGCCTGGCCCGGGCTATTGCGGATGGGGACGAGAAGGGGGCAGCCCAAGCAGCAGCCATCCTGGCTCAGCATCACACAGCCCTCAGTGTCTGCCTCCAGGAGGCCTGCTTCCCACCTGGTCCTATCAGGTGAGGCTTGAGACTTCTTCCTTGCCCTGCCCTCCTGACCCCCCCGGGTTCTCTGTCCATCCCCTAACTTATTCTGGTCCAGGCTGCATGTCACAGTTGAAGACGCCGCATCTGCTGCCTCCGCTGCATGCTCTGCCCACGTCACACTGCTGGTCTACCCCCACTGCACCATCGCAGCCCTCCAGGAGCAGGTAAGCATGGCATCTAGGGAGCCCTACTGGGGCTGGGAGACCCTGGGTGACAGTGGCCCACCCCGACACTCTGGCCCCAGGTGTTCTCGGAGTTTGGATTCCCTCCAGTTGTGCAGCGCTGGGTCATTGGGCGGTGCCTGTGTGTCCCAGAGCGTAGCCTCGCGTCCTACGGGGTCCAGCAAGATGGGGACCCTGCTTTCCTTTACCTGCTCTCAGCCCCTCGAGAAGCTGCAGGTCAGTCCTCAGTGGGGATGGGGTGAGGAAGGTGGGGTGCAGCCTGAGATGGCCCTGAGCCCCAATCCCTCTGCCACAGGACGCAGCTCTCAGCGCCTCCAGAAGATGGATGGGGAACTAGGACGCTTACTTCCCTCGTCATTGGGGCCACCCCGAGCCCCCCAGCCAGCCAGCTCCAGCCTCCCCAGCCCCCTTCAGGTGGGCAAGGGACCAGACATCAGGCAGGGTGGGGGCAGGGGTGGGCCAGGCCCGGACTGCTGTGGTCATCAGGAGCGGGGAGGCAGCCACTGTCTCTCCGCCCCACCCCCAGCCCGGCTGGCCCTGTCCTTCCTGCACCTTCATCAATGCCCCAAGTCGCCCTGGCTGTGAGATGTGTAGCACCCAGAGGCCCTGTGCTTGGGACTCCCTTCCTGCAGCTTCCACCTAGAAGCCACCAGAGGTACCAGAGGCAGGGGTGGGAGGTAGGGGATGGGGACGGGGCAGCAGAAAAACCAGAAATGATCTGTTTTCTTCTCCTAGGTTACAAGGAGAGAACATGGTCCTTCCCTCCCAGCCCAAAGTCCTGGATCCTAACTGAACCTCAGGGAGCCTCTGCTGACTGTCTGCTGAGGACAGAGCCACCAGGATTGAGAGGGAGGGGCCACGAGCCAGTCATTAAAGGCATTTATGAGCCAGCCGTGTCACTGTCTCTGAGCAGACCTGCCCCAGTCCAGCCAAGGCTGCAGGAAGTGGAAAGTGGGCAGGCCTGGCTTTCAGCAGGTGGGACTCTCTCAGCCAGGCCTAGGCAGCTACTGAAGAGTGGCCTTGAGGCCCAGAAGTCATAGGAGCATAGCACTGGGACCTCTTCCCAGACCCCAGAGGCCTACAGGGGCCTTCCTGGCTGCTGACACCATACTGGTCTGCATTTGAACCCAGCTCTGCAAGTCCTGCCCTGTACCACTGATTTTGCCTCCTGCTGTCCACCCTGGTCCTCAGGCCCACACCCCTCTTCCTCTGCCTTCAGCTCCATCTGCACCACCTTCCTGCCACTCTGCTTTTGCCCTCCCTAAACTGTGGTCACCACTCTCCCTGGCTGCTCCATCCGGGATGACACTGACAATGGAAGTGGGTGTTTTCTTCCCTTGTCAGGGGCAAGGGAAGCTCAGGAGCTAAGAATCCCAAGCCAGGGCCCTGTGCTACTGCCAAGGTCAAATCTCAGCAACCCTCCTGTCACTTGACCACCATGCTGCTGGGAGGTACCATTCTAGGACAAATACTCTGACACCCCCCTCCTAGTGTGACCCTTCTCAGTGGACAGTACCTCCAGCTGTCAGCCAAGATACCAGGGGACATCTCAGGCGCCCTCCTGTGCCTACTTATCTCTGATTCCTTAACATGGTTGGGAGCAATCTCTCCTCTCCCAGATGCTGCTTGGCTCAGCCCCAACTGGCCCATCCCAGAGATAGCACCTGCTGTAGATCAGGCCTTTCCCTTGCTGAGATGCTGCTGGGGGCTCCCCACTGCCCTCAAGATGGAGGCCAAGCAGCTCAACACGCTGGCACTTGGTTGCTCATTACAGTAAGCCCCAGGGTGCCTGGCCAGGCCCTTGTCACTTCTTCCCAGACACACCCCACTCTGCTGGGTGCTACCACCACCTCTAACAAACAGCTACGTCTCTGCTTTCTGTTCCACACTCAGTACTGTCTGGGCTCTAAGCTACCAGTCAGTGCAGGGCAGCACTGGCCACACTGCATGGGACATCCTGGGAGCTCTGTGAGGGCAAAGGTTTTAATACCAAAGTCCCCTGCAAACCTGTACTCCTTTCACATGTTCACTCAAATGTGTACATTGAGAAACTTAATTTATTCCCATGATGGGAGCTGGAGGAGGATCTGGAGCTAGAGCCTCATCTGTCCACCCCACTCTTGTCCCAGATGACAAGCGGCTTGGCCAAGTGGGCCAGCTGAGGCCTGAACAGGCCCAAGATGGCTCCTGGGCTTGAGGGCCTGTTCAGGCAGAATGGCAAGCAGATGTACAGGATCACTTGGGTGGCCGATATGCCAGCTTCCGACTTTTCAGGACTGACCACTTATGCCGCTTCATGGCATAGGTCAGGGGCACCAGCAAGGTCATCATCATCAACATCTGGGAATAAGGCAGGTTCAGAGAAGGGAAGCAGGAGGGATCCTTGCCCAGCCCCCAGCCCCCAGCCCCTCTGCAATACCCACCTTGAGCCCCATGCGTTTGCGATGGTCATGCTCTGGCTCAGATGCCCAGCGCAGGAAAGTGCACACGTCCTTGGCTACCTGGGACATGGTAGCTGGGGTACCTAGGTGAGGGACAAGTGGTGAGGGCTACTCCTGGGGCTCGTGCCCAATCTGGAATAACCCTCAATGCAGTCCCTCTACCGAGCACAGACTGGACCCTACCCAGGATTTCAAAGGGACAGAACACACACAGGACTGCCCAAAACCCACCTCTGACACACACAGACAACACCCCAGCCACAAGGGGGCAGGACCTCTTGGGCCCAGGAATGTAGGGGAAACATCCTTGGGGGTGAGGAAGGAGGACTCCGCATACCCACTTTCGGGGTAGAGGCCTCTCACCATCATCAAACTCCAAGACGTCAGTGTAGATTGGAGGGGCCATGCCGATGGCCTGGCCAGGAAAGTAGGGGTTGAAGTAGAGGCCTTCTCGCAGCGACACCCCAGTGGGTGGGTCACAGTAGCCGGTGAGCAGGGAGAAGACGTAGTCCTCACCACCGTGCCTGGGATCAGAGCCATGGGTTCTTAGCTCCTGGCACGGGTCAGACCTTCCCCTCTCCAGCACCACCCCGTGGGCAGCCCACATACCTAGCACGCACAATGTAGCTGAGATCAGGGGGTAATGCTCCATTGTTGGCAGCTCGTGCGGCTTCAGGGTTGGGGTACGGCTTGGGAAAGTAGTCGGACAGCTTTCCTGGCCGCATGAACATCTCCCCATCGTCATTGGGACCGTCCTGAACCTCCACCTGCCACCAAGAGCCCCATCACAACCGTAACATCCCACTACAGCGGGAGCCCCAAGCCCTGGGCTCGCATCCCCAAGCCTACCTCCTCAGCAAGGGCTTTAGCTTCATCCTCCGTGTAGCACACACCCACCAGGTGGCGGTAAGCCATATAGTCCATGCTGTGGCAGGAGGAGCACACCTGCTTATATACCTGGAAACCCCTCCGGATGCTAAAGAGAGGGAAAGGATTAGGGACATGGAAGATTCCACCCCACCCAGTGCACCCAGAAACTCCCTCCGCCAGCGGCACACCTGGTGTGGTCCAAGGAAGAGAGGAGGCCACGGTGAGACCACGGAAAGCTGGGAGGGTGCAGCTCCAGGTCACTGGCACTCACAGCAGAATGTAGAGCCACTGCCAGCCCTGCACCCCCCGCCGCCAGCATGCCCAGCGCTGACAGCATCACCTTCCGGCCGCGAGAAAACCCAGACTTGGACGACAAGGACGCTGCCTGCAAGAGCCCCGCTCAGCGCCCACCAGGACACCACCCAGCCCGACCTGGGGATCTGGCTCTCAGCGCCCACCTCTCCCGCTCGCCCACCCAGCACTGGCCGCCGCCTGCAGGACGCCAGAAGCACGCCCTGCCCACTGCCCGCCGCAGCCCTCTGGGCTGCCGGCCCCTCGGACGTCACTCGGCTCTGAGGACGGGGTGCGACCGTGTTCCCGGGTCCTGAGCCGGGCATCAGACCACAGTGAACGGGGGTGTCGGGGCAGGCCAAGGTCACAAGCAGCTGGCCGAGATCAGGCTGGGGTCACTTCGGGACGCGGGCCCGGTCCGGACAGCCGGCGGCGGGGGCCGTCCTGGGCGCGCCCTCCGGGGACAGCCCCAGCCTCGACCCGGCAGCGAGCCCGCCCGCCGCCCCC